TTTTGTAGAGCTTTTCACGGTGCATCTTTTAAAGAAAAATTCAAGATCTTATCATTGACCTAAGCCAAGAGATAGACGAAATAAAAAAATGTTGAACACCTCGAAGATGATCAGAAAAATTTTTAAAATAGTGAATGTCAGTGTTGTTACTTTTTCTCATCCATAGTACAGCCTATAGACCTCAAACTTTGTAGTTAAGTAATACTAAATATGTACAACAATCTACCAAAGTTTCAACGAATTTGCTTTTGTAGAATGCGAGAACGGTGAATTTTAAAATCGTTTCAGAACTTCCGGGACACCCTTTACTCTATGATTTTAAGCGAACTCTCTTTCAATCCTATCCATTAGAACATTATTCAAAAGAGATGACTGAGAAAAAAAAGGGTCTAATGGTCAATTAAATAGAAGTGTTGAGAAAATATTTTTAGGTATAGTACAAATAAATTCTGAAATAGTTTTCTCCAGACCGGAATCAGACTAGGTTTATCAAGACGATATCCGGAACTATAACTAAAAAGATTTGATTCCGTAAATCTCTAGTCAGTACAAAATAAGAACTCTATGATGTGAATAAAACTGTCAAGTTTCTTCGTCAATTATTAATTGAAAGATTAGAGAGAAATTATAATATACGAAACTAAAGCTATACAATTTGGTAAACAAATTTTACAATAATATCTATCGTATGGAACGATTAAATTTGATTAATAATAAAATATAATCGACTTTAAGAAGCGAATTATTTTTTTTATGTTGAAATGTTCTATATTTTTCCATCTATTCAACTCGACTTCTACAATTTAGATTTCTGTTTCATATAAATCAAAATTATTAAAGAAAATTTTCTTTTTGATGAATCATTAATAATCATTAGTCATCTTATGAATATAAAAAATAACTTTGAATATAAAACTCATACCTTTATTTGAATTAATATTTATAGATTGTGTAGAATTAGGTGATGATGGTGGTGTTGTTGGTGATGATGTTTGTTGTATAAGTGGACGAAATTCCGAATATTCATTTGGTTCAAGTCGACCCCATTTCGTATTATTTGGATTATCTTTAACAAGTTTTATTTCAATAACTGTTGGTGTTATTCTTGATGAACATTTTTCAGGTATAATACGTTCTTTAACACGAACAAATAATCTAATTGCTCTATCATATGTTATTGCATGAGTTTTAAGAAAATTCTCATCACTAAAATACAAATAGACAATAGAAAAAAAAATAAATAAATAAATAGTAAAATTTTTTTTTTATTTTTATACTTCGTATGAAAAATAGCTGTAAAATTTGTTTCTGTAAAATTTATATGACAATCATGTACTTGTTTAATATAAATATTTGATGTAAATGTTTCTTTTGTTTCAAAAAAATCAGTTTTTAATTTTTTTATTGATAAATCATATTGTTGTTGATCAATCATATTAATATCATTATATTCATTTAATTGATTATTACGTTGTGGTGTTATAGGTATTGAACCATAACTATATAATTGTGGCCATGTTTTACGTGGTTGTTGTTTTGTTAAACGTATTTCAATTGATGTTTGTGTTCCTGCTGAATTTATTGTTGTTTCAATTTCACTACTATCAGCATAAATATGTTCCCATAATTGAAATATCCATGTTTCATTTGCTTATTAAAGAAGAAGAAACATATGAACAAATATATATATTTAAAATTTTTTGTTTGTTTACCTGGTGTACGAACTTCAAGTGAATCTGTCTCAATAGAAATATCAATGTCTTTTACTTCAAATGCTCCATTAGCATAAAGTGTAACTATAATAGCATTTTTTGCATCACAAAAATCGTAAGATGTCGATAGAGGTTCATCAATAATATCGGTTGACATTGACAATACGATAGTTTTTTCTATCTTAAATAGTAGATTAATAAAAAAAAAACAATCTTAGAAGTGTCTTGTAGATATATTTTTGGTTCACGACAGATAGAAAGAAAATCAAATAACGTAATTTCTTAATTTGTTTATGTTAGTTTCTTGATTTTGATTTTTTATTTACTTTAGTCATTTGAAACAAAAAAAAATGTACTTAAATTTTTATCATTGTTGAAGTGTCGAATGAAAGAAAAAAGAGAAAATTAATTTGGAAATTTAGTTTGAAAAAATGATTCGATTTGTCTACGAATTACACCAATCATATTATATACGTATACCTTTCTTCGAAAAAAAAAATCTTCTATTAGATGTTTGACAAATATTCATAGAGGTTATCTTCTTTTCTTGTTTACAAATGAAACAATATTATAATACAAGGTTTTATTTATGTGATTGCACAAGTAACTAACAAAGAAACATTTCTAGATGTCTCTTTTTAATTTCAGTGATGCTATTTTATCTATAAATGTTACATAATAATCTAATGCAAATTAAAGAAAAACATGTGTATCTCGAGATAGTAAATTTTTCTAGAGCTAGTTTTTATACGTTGCTTGTATGTTAAGATACTTTAGATCTCCTGAAAAAATTAGCGCTAGTGACGTGACGAAGTACGAATATATAAATGAGAAAATGTACCAATCTTTCTTTAGAATCTTCAGATAAAGATTGGATAAAAATTTTCATTTCGGGACTTGACAGAACCTCTTAGAGACCCAATCTTTAGGGGGAAGTTGTTCGAAGTCTGAAATTTTCACCATAAAGTCTATCCTGAAGTTTTTCGGATTTTTTTTTTCTCGTATGATTAGAGAGATATTCGCTAATTACTTATTAATTTAATAATCAGTTGAAAGAGCTAATAGTTTTGCACATGTCTATTTACTGGAGATTTTTGTAGAATTCTAGGTCTTCGGAAAACCGTGTTTTTGAATATCATTCTTAAATTATTACCATTTAAAGTTCTCATATATAGTAGCTTCTATAAAGAGTTTTTGAGTTCATAGGCTTCGTATCTTTACACTAGAAGTCTTTCGAAGCGTAGGACTAAGTACAAGTATAGTTTGAAAAGTTTGTATATGAAACGTTAAAATGAAAATAGTTTCAAAACACAATTTATCCGAAAACTTGTTATCCTATAAGACCCTCTGATAAATAGACACATGAAAAATTCAAGCTTTCACTATAGAATACGATGTAATATTTATAGATAAAAATATCATTGAGATCGGGAAGGGAAAATTTGAGGAGGTTTCTTCATAGGTTTAATTCAAGTGGCATTAAAAGTTCATTGGATACTTGTATTGATAAAGATAAAACTCGATATCATTATTTTTCGCTCTCATATGTATAAATTTTACTCTCTCAATAAAGCTAATACGTAGTAACAAAAAACTTTTAGTCCAAGATTTAGCTCACTAATATCTATAGATATTAATGTGGAATCGGCTGAAGTAAAATAGCTTCCTTCGATCTATTTTTTATGTCGTGTTTCCGCAACTGTCTGCCAAGTTTTAGATAACAGATTTTTTCAGTCACTTTCTGCCAGATGGACTGCCTCCGACTATCGATCAAATTTTTAGTCTCTTCCGCTAGAAGTGGTGAAATGATTTTAATCTAGCGAAAGCTGCTGAATATTTTTCTCAGATGATGATCAAAGACGAAATAAAAAAGATACGAATTTCTAGTCTAGTCATCCTCTCTGTATTGAAAACATATTTCTGCCTTTGTTCAGTTCAAAATTTGGAAAATAATGAAATATTTTAGTGCTATATTAACTTTTCTAGTGCATTATCAGCATGTACATAAAAAATTTAAACCTAATCTAAAGTGAATAGAACGAGCAAAAGTAAAAAGCACTATTCACGATAAAAAAAGACTTTAACTTTTCCAACAGATAGTTTGAGTTTTCGAAATTTTCTTTATATCAATCGATCAGCTAATATGTTTGTTTCGTGATATAAACAGAAATTTCTTCTTTTTTCATATTAAAAAAACTGTAGTTCGACACTGCAGCATAGATTTTGTCTATCAAAAGATTACTATTGGTTTACTGTTTTAAAATCTTCTATAAGACTGAAGCAGAGAAAAGCTTTTATAATCAACAAAGACATATCAGTACCATGGACGAGTTGAATGAGTTGATTATTTTTCTCCATCAACGAATTACTCGTAGTAATAAATCAAAATATTTCAAAAAATATTGTCATACACAGGGGCTATCCCAACGTCTAACTAAATGTACACTTCAGAAAAATACGAGACAACTCTTGTTCTAAGGAATATCGCTGACAAAATATAAACTCGGAATAAGATCTGTAATATGTTTTCAAATATTTGAACCTTCCACTTCTAAAAACTATCTAGATATCTCGATTCGATAGGAGTAAGTTCAGGCTTTCTTTCTAACGAATAGCCTATAAAGAATGAGATACTCTTTTCGAGCGGCAGCAACACATTCAATGGCTCTATTCTAAGTTCATTCGTTGGAGAATTTGTCGTTCTACAGAAATATTTAATTAGAATTTTAGAAGATATATTGTTAAACTAAAAATTATGAAAACACCGAAAACTACTTTTCTGACTGTGCCATGCCATTGTTCGTTTTTACTGCTTTCGAAAATATGACTTTCCAAAAATATTGTCATGTTAATTTTGAGTCTTTTCCTCCTGAACAATAACACCAGGGGACTCGAAAAGTTACAACACAAATTCTGTCTCTATTAATATTACATACTTTACTTTTAACGTCGTACTTATCAGACGCATGCTTATACTAACCAATAAATGTCAGCGGAAAATAGGAAATCGTATTTGGACATTTGAGCAGGAATTCATCTTTTAAATTTTGTGCAAATAAGAAAAATAAATTTAAACAATGGAAAATTCTCTATCGTATGAGATTAGAACAGAGTCTTTGCATGTGTTGTCACTCTTTCTGAGTCATCAATCATATCTCTATTCAAGATAAAACATTTCTGATTTGATAGATCATGATGAATGATAACGATTCAGTCTCAATGCAAAATATTTAGATTTGTTTTTTTTTCTGAAAATTTAATTCAAAAAGAAAAAAAAAAAAAACTTTTATTATTAATCAAATATCATATTTTCTATCTGATAAATTGATAAAAAAAGAAAATCATCAATATTACTAAACTTATTAAAACTAACGAAAAGTGTTTAAAACTATTTTTATTTATTGTCTTTCTATATCCATGTTCATCAAACCATTGAATACATTTTTGCATAGCTTTATCTGGACTAACTTTTACATTATAACCTAATATTTTTTTTGCTTTTGTTATATTTGCATAATGTGTAACACCAACTTTTAATACTTCAGCACGTGATAAAAATGGAGAAAAATTATAAATATATTTAGCAACAATATGATGTATAATTTCAATAAAATAACCAAAATAAAACATAATAAATGTTGGTATATAAAAAGCAAAACAATAATTATAACCTAAACCTTTTGTTAATTGTGATATAAATTGAAAATTATTAACTGGTTGATCATCAGAAATAAAATAAACTTCACCCGAATGTTCAGGTAAAGATTTTTCAGCTAAAACTAATGCATATACTAAATTATCAGCATAAACCCAATCACATAGAATATTTTCATGACCAATAGCAAAAAATGCTAAACCTTGACGTACTAAATTTAATATACGTGGAAAATGTCGTTGTTCACCATCACCATAAATAGCTGCTGGTCGTATAGCTACTGTATGAAGTTTTGATGAACAAACTTTTAATATCATTTGTTCAGCTAATGATTTTGTACGACTATAATTATCACAATATTTATCTTCTGTTGGATATGAACAATCATCTTCAGTTACATTTAATAATTCTTTAGTTCCTGTATATACAGCATTATATGTCGAACAATAAATTATTTTATTAATACCATGTTGAATACATGCATTTATTATATTTTCAGTACCAATTACATTGACTTCATATATCATTGAACTATTTAACATTTCTCTACCTGACATACCATAACTAGCTAAATGAAATACACATGTAGTATTAGATAAAGCATCATAAACAGATTTGTAAGAACGTATATCACAATAACGATAGATTAAACGATTCAAATCTGAAGTATATAATTGTTTATCATTAGATGGAGGGTGAATATCAAGTAAAAATACGATATTTGAATGATTAATTTCAAGTAAATAGCGAGCAAGACGCAAGCCAATATAACCACAGCCACCCGTGATAGCGAAATATGATGCAGTCATGTGTTTGGTTATATAATGATGAATAAAATAAGACTATGACGTGTTCTATCTGTCTAACGAACGGAAAAAAGAAATAATAAAAAAATATAATGTTTTTGTTTTCGTTCTATCTTTTCTCGATGTCATACAAAATATAATTATATTTTCGTATTTAAGATAGCTGTCAAACGACTCTAACGCATTTATCTTATTATTTCAATACTTTGATATATTATATTTCGTCTAGGTTTTTGTTGACAACATGTAATTTTTGTCAACACTTCAAACAAAGTACGTAACCAATGATATTTTTGTTATCATTTTTTTTTCTTATTGCCAAGTTAGATATAAGTGAGTTCGTCTTCTATAGATTCTGATGATATAATTAAACTCTATGCTTAAACAAATTATTAAGCAATACATTCATATTTAAATATGTTTTTTTGGTAATCGTAAATAATAATTATATTAGAGAAGACTTATGTTTCACTAATGGCTTGTTACAGATCAATTGAAGTATTTTATGAAACATATTCGTTAATAGATGCTTAAAAGAAAAATGAACTTCTGTTTATGTCTTTTGATATGACCCATTCCATATTCTTCTTGTTTAAGAGCTTGAGCATAGTAGACGATTGGTCTAACTTTACCATTGTTTACAATTAGATAAAGGATGAAATTTTGTTGAAAGCTTTCAAAGAGAAGTGACCTTTTTTTTTTTTGTTAGTCTTTTTAAATTGCATAAATTATATCGATTGTAATTCATATTATGTTTTTATTAATGTTTTCATAATAAGAACGATAATTTTTGAAAATATACTTTGTTATTTACCTTGAAATAATTTACTTCTGTGTAAATGAATAATCTCTGAGTAACGAAGCTGAATCATTTCGAATAGATAAGAATCTGTCAAATTATAAATCTTTTCTCTTGTTATTATGTCAATATCATATGGTCACATTATCATTATTGAATCGTATATGTGTACAATTTCTCATCTATTACCTTGTTTGTCACATTACAATTTTCATTTTCAAAATCTTTCGTACATTTATATACCGTAGCACTTGAAATCTATCATACATTCAACTGATGATTTTATTTTACTAATATTTTAAAACAAGGTCAATATATCAAAAGTGCCGCCTTTTTTTTACAAAATGTCAATCACCTTTCAAGGTCGATCTGGACTATATACTACTTCTTTCTTCTGTAAATTTGCTGTACTAGATAGAAAAAACAACTATTCCTTGAACTTGACTCAACATTTATTGTACAATTCATTTTAAAAACACATATATAAATATTATTAATAAGAAACTATCCATCTTGATATCTGAAAAAGGAAACATGCTTAAAAGATGTTTTTATAGTTAAAACGAGAAATTTTTCGTCAAAATGTCGTTCCTATTCGAAATTACACGATGTGTAGTTTTATTACTGTGAAATTTACATGTATATTTTTTAATGAATTGTATAATTAATTTTTATCTAAGGTAAAAAAACATGATTTTAGCATTATTTTTCTAGTGCGAGCAATAGTTAAAGCAGAAAGAAGTACTGGTTAATCCAAATAAACTAAAAGATATGATCCACATTTTGTCAAAAACCACATATTTATGTATTGAATTTCTATTAAAATATTAGACAAGCAAAGTCATCGTTTGACTTTACGATCAAATGTAATTGTCACTATGTATATATACATTGTGTCGTTACAAAAAGTTCTAGTTTCTTTGATAAATATCACTGCGACATCTACAATTACAAATATGTCGTCATAATTGGCATCGAGCCATCATCTTCCATCATAAAAACTCATAACTCAATGAAAGAAAAGAGAAAAAGGAAAAACTCCGTTTTTTTTTCATGTCTACTCTGCGTGTGTGTCGATCTGCCTCTTTCTTTCTTTCCGTTCTGTCTATGAATGAAAGAAGAAATGTTTAAAACTAACACATCTATGCATTCTAATGCATAAAATTGCCTATGAAGGCTCATTAACAAAGGAAACAATAGGGCGATCATTCTTTGTTTCAGACATTTTGTTGATTTTTCTTGGCTGAATAATAACAATATCTGTCATCTACATGATTGTTAATAATATTTATAAAAATATAATATATAAAAGAAAAAAAAAACAAAAGAAAAAAAATATTTAATAAAACTCATTTGCTGTTTTAGATGAAGCCAAACGATTATAATTCATTGTTATCGGCTCATCATTCATTGTCTTTTTCTATTGAAAACTAATTATTTCTATTATAACTGATCATGAAGGTGATTAATTTCTTTTTCCATATATAAATTTGTTCTAATTAATATGAATTTTCCTTTTTATTATTTCCATAGACAACAAATACAATTCCTATAAAATTACCACATATATCAGTATCGAAACGTGGCCGTCAAACAAATCAATTACAATTTATGTCAAAAGTTTTATTCAAAACTTTATGGAAACATGAATTTTCTTGGCCATTTCAAAAACCAGTTAATGCTGCTAAACTTCATTTACCTGTATAATTATTAATAATAAAATTATCTTCAAAAAGAAAAAAAAAAAAAAACAAAATCTTTCTTTTTCTATTCGTTAGGATTATCATAAAATCGTCAAATATCCAATGGATCTTGGTACAATAAAAAAACGTCTCGAAACTAATTATTATTATAGTGCTAAAGAATGTATAACAGATTTAAATATGATGTTTACTGATTGTTATTTATATAATAAACCAGGCGAAGTAATAAAACAAGGCATGAAAAAAAAAAAGGAAATAAATTTTTTCTTATTTTACAAGGATGTTGTCATTATGGGTGCAACACTTGAAAAAGTTTTTTATGAAAAATTAGCTGAAATGCCGTCAGATGTAAGATTAATCTTTTATTCTTCTCAATATGATTTATATTAAATTAAAATATATATATGTATAGGAATTTGAAATTGTACCTAATGCATCAAAAACAACAGGTTCAAAAGTTCTTGGACAAGTAAATTCATCAGTATCAATTATTTCACCATCAACACCAAGTGAAAGTATAAATTCTCCATGTATGTAGAACATGATTAATTTTATGATTTGGAAAAATCCATAATAGAATTTTACCTCTGTTATTGCATCAGTTAAAGAAATACTTTTTCGTATAGAAGTAAAATGAAGAAAAAAGTATATATATTTACACATTTTCGATGAAATTTATTAGACTAAATAAGGTTATCACTTATGACAAATGATTATTAATATTTGTTGTCATTACATTTTGTTTTTTCGAAATTAAAACTAATTTTGAAAGTATATAAGAGAGATGAACAATTTAAAATAATGAACCATTAAAGTTTGTACAATTTCTGTTTTCTTTCTTGTTACTTAGTATTCAATCGAGCTGAAGTTATTTTAAGGATATTCTAATGCTGATTTTACAAAGTAAAATGAAAATGCGGTCAATATTTGGAGTTTTATATTCGAATGGAAAGATATTTCAACTCTATCGGATTTATTGCAAGATGATTTCTAGCATTTGTGATCTAGTGGAGAATTGGAAACTTTAAGAGTAGATAGATTTCGACTAGTAGAGAAAAAAATTGACATAGACTAAAAATTCCCAAATACTTTCTTCTATGACAATGTAAGCGCTAAAAATGATCTGAAGCCATCGTCACAATTTTTATTATTAATCTTAAAATTACCTCTTGAATATTTCGAGAAAAGTTTTCAGCTTGATTGGTGGTACCATCTTCGAGAACTTGCAATGATCAATGATTTACTTAGGATATATGACGAAAACATCTCTATATAGTATAGAATGATTGAGAAAGTTTTCTATATGCGTTGATAGTAAAAATAATGCTCTACATATGACGATAGTACCTTAAGCATTTTAATCAAGATACATAATCATGTTTTTTTTTATCAATAGAAAGAATAGTAGAAAAAACTCCTAAATAATGAAATCTGAGTTGTTTTTGCGAATCTTTAATTAATAGTTCTAATACTCACCTGATATTTGAAAATCTTTGAATACAATTCAATGCATCTTCTTCTCTTTCTAAAGGTAAAAGTTTCGACTTACTATCTTAGTTAAAATGTTTAAATATTATCATCGCATATCATAACAAACAGTTCTTATCAAAATTTTCCTCAACCTTTCTTTACAATATTTAAGTGCCCTTGTCACTACTTTTGATAGATTCTAAGTAACTAAACATGTCATTTTGTTTTTCGAAGAGTAGAAAGTACATTTGTCTAGATCATACAGAGAAGATTAATGAGATGCTCTAATCTTGAGGTACATTCAAATCACATGACATTTTCAGTTCATTTAATAATCAAAAAAAGGAAGAGGGATCGTTAAACGATGAAATCAGTTCCTTGTCAAATTAGACTTTATTTCAGCTGACTCAGCATTCGATATTATCTATATAATGTTTCTATAAAAAATTTTTCAAATTGATTCGTATATCAAATGAAAGTGCTTTCTTTTAGATAACATAATTCACTGTATATACCAATAGGAGTTACCATTAGACTGAAATTCGTTTATGGATAAGACATTTTAATCAAACATGCAATTTTTGATACTGACGAAATTATGTCTTTAATTAAAACGTCTTGCTTAGAAAATAAGTTCAACGTAACAATATTATTTTTATCACTGAGAAAACTTTGGTAATAGATGTCCTCATATTTTATAAACAGCAAACCATGTCGTCTAGAATTCAATTAGGAAAATTTCTCATAACAATACTAAATAAATAATATGTAGTTTTAAATCTATCGAAATGAAGTCAATTTCGACAAGGAATCAATTTCATCGCTTAACAACATATCAAAATCTGTCTGTTTTTTTTTTATATATAATATTAGAAAAAAACGTGTGCACTATATATCTTTATGTATTCTTTGAAAACAAAAGAAAAACGCAATCGATTACAATGAAATTACTTTGAGAATTATGATCATTAAAATCTACACATAGAGATAAAAAAAAATGAAAACAATAATCTTTAATTTAGTAGCATCTCCATCAACTCCATCAATGGCAACACGTGCTGCATCAGTCAATAGTTCATATCCAAGTGGTACAAATGTTCTATCACGACATCGTTCATCATCAGCAACAAATCCTAGTGGTATAACTTCACCATTTTCACCATCAAATTCAAATCATATTGATCATAATGTACAATCAATGTCACCACCATCAGTATCACAATCAATGCCTAATACAACAGCAATACGTCCAACTAATCCTGTAGCAGCAGCTAAAATTATAAATGAAACACCTGTAGATACATCAACATCAGTGAGAAAATCGAATAAAAACAAATAAAAATATATGTTTTTCTTAATTGTTTTTTGTTTTTCTTCTTCTAAGAGTTCAAAACGAAAAGGTGATATGACTGATGATACAAATAATAATGATCAAAATAAAATAACTGCTCGACGTGATAGTGCAACAAGACGTACGAATAGTGTTAGTGGACCAATTAAGAGAACGAAATATGATAGTAGTTTTTCTATGGAATCAAATGATGTAAGAATTTTTATTACAAGAAAAACCAATAATAATAATAATTTTTTTTTAGCCACAAATTAAACGATCAAAAAGTCGTATGACGGAACAGTTGAAGTTTTGTGTCAGTATTATTAAAGATTTATTACATAAAAAAAATATGGTAAAAATTTTTATAATACTAAAATTTTTATAGATTTATTCGTTTTTTTTTTCTTTTTTCTTAAGGCATTTGTTTGGCCATTTGCTAAACCTGTTGATGCTAAAAATCTTAATCTAGATGATTATCATCAAATTATTAAAAAACCTATGGATCTTGGAACAGTGAAAGTATGATTAACAAAAAAAAAACAAGAATTTATTATTATTATGCTTTTCTTTTTGTTAAGAAAAAACTTGAAAATCGTGAATATACATCACCAGATGAATTTGCTACTGATGTTAGACTAATATTTGGCAATTGTTATCTTTATAATGGACCTAATACAGATGTTGTAGCAATGTGTAGAAAAGTTGAGGTAAAAAATTTAAAAAAAAAACGAACATTCTCTTTCTTATATTTATTAGAAAAATGCATGATGATTTTCTTTGAATAGATAATGATGTTATCTTTATAGAAAGAGAGAGACAAAAAAAAGAATTTTGTTTCTACTATGTATGAGAGTCCCAGTTGTATAGTTTAACGTTACTAGAGCTTATTCAAACATTTATGAGTTTGATTACGACTCTGTTATTTATCTAAACTTTCACGTTCAAAGAGGCACTGTCACGTCGGATAGAACTCTTACGATTTTTAATTCAAATTTTTGTAGGGATTAATGCACCTGCTTTGTTCTACTGTAATTATTGTATTAAACTGGTATTTTTTTTTTAATGAAAGAACTACTCGAAATGACATGTATCGTTTGAGATTATATTGAGCCCATAAACAGACTTCAGTGAGAATAATAAAAGAACTCGATGCCGAGTTATAACTGATATTTAAGTACTTTCGGAGGAAGATTGAATAACGAAGTTGTAATTCAATATTTTGTCTAGTCGTCGAGGTATTATATACACCTATTTTCATGCAAAGTTTTCAATCAAAACTCCATTATTCAGTCTTTAGTGTAGTACCTAAAAATCAGTTATAACTCGGCGCCAAGCATTTTTATTATTCTCACTGAAACTTGCCTATGGGTCTAATATAATTTTAAACAGCAGGTGTCCATTGGCATAGTTCCCTTGTTAGAAATCATTTCACGATTGTTTATTAGAATGTACATAATCACTAAGAAAAGGAAAGTTATTTGAGAACTCGACATATAGACTAGAAAAAATAAATATATATATGTATATATATAAGCTGTTAGCGCAATTCCTGCAGAGATGTAGCTGTTGTTGTTAATCACAGCGAGATTGCTTTATTCTATCTATTTTGGGATACATTTCTTCAATATCCTTTTACTTAATACTTCAGACATGCAATAAGTAGTTTTTATATAATAAAAAGACATCATTGATATACGATCTGTAGGGAACAAAATAATGTTTCATGCAGATTTGCACTTCGGAGAGGGCGAACCCAAAGTTTGCAATGAACGTTTCCCTCGCGCTAAATAAAACACTGAAGAATGGGTATACTCCTACACTTGCACACTTTGTATTTCATTTATTGCAATTACAAAACATGATTGTATTGTTTTCAAAAACAGAGGACTTTGTTTTAAAGAGATAAATAAACAACATAAGACTGCTATGTGTTACTTGCCAATCGAAATGATATTTCGCTCATAATTAGACTTCGGTGGATGAATCAAATGTGAAAAACAATGGATTTTCTTTGTCAACAGAAAATAATATATCCATTTAGGCCGAAATGCTCAGGACATACTAAGGTCAAGAAGACCTACCTGTATACAAAATATCTATTCGCTCGACAAGTCACATTAGAAGACGTTCGCTCGTAAGATATATACTATTATGTTTATTACAAAAAGTGTATCCATTAAATACAATGATTGATCAATTTTTTTTTCACTATTTATTTACAATGTTTTTAAAAATTAAAAAAAAACAAAGTCTCATATGCTTATTGTTTATAAAGTCTATTTGACATGTTGTTTCTTTTTTTGTGTAGCAAATGTTTGAAAATAAATATGCTAAATTACCCGATGAACCAGCAATACCAGTAAATGTTGAAATAGATCCATCACCATCATCAGTTAGTACTGTGCGTAATAATGGTCCAATGCCATCATCAACACGAAAACGTAGTCGTAATCCATCAAAAAATCATAGTAATATGAGTAATACTGGACCACAAACATCAATGATAACAAGTTCTGATGATGGTGTATCAAGTGATGAAAGTTCAGTTGATGAAATGCAAACGAATGATGAAAATACTTTACAACAATTACGTATTCTTCAAGATCAAGTAAATAGTTCTTTACATATGATTTTAATAAAAATATCTTTTTTTTTTTTTTTTTTTAATTTTATTTATTTATCATAGATAAAAGTATTTGGTGATACAATAAATCAATTAATTCAACGAGAAAATGATCGTGTAACAACACATCGTAAACGTAAACCAAAAATTAAACGAAATAAAACTAAAGTTCGAACACCTCGACAAACATCTACGTTACCGAATTCTACAGCATCTATTTTATCCAATACACTTAATGATCAAAATCCTTTTGCATCAATAACAGCATTAAATCAAGCTATACTACCACCGAATCCTCTTACTAATACACAACAACCAATGCCACCAACAGCTACACGTAATTCTGCTGTACCAATGGCAAACAAGAAAAAAGAAAATTCTTCTATTGCAGGCTTACTTACACCAACACCACCCACACAATATCCAACAGGTAGTAATCTACCTGCACCGAATGGTATAAGTCAATTTAGTAATATCCATCCGGGTCAATATCATGTTACCAATACAAATGCTGTTAAATCAGCACAACCAACAAAAAATGTTACACCTATGACCGGTATTAGTGCAGGTCTAGCTAGTCGTGGTCCTGGTAAAGGTGGTCGTGCTGTTGGTGCACCTGGTACTGGACAAAAACGGTTCGTAGACAAATAAAAGATAAATGTTAAGAAACAATTCATGAGAGGATGAAGACATTATCATCTATAACCTTAAGTTTTTAGTTGATTCGAGTGTTCTATAGTAATACTAGAATTAGACCTTAACAATTTAGAGAATTTTCTAATCTAATGAATCAAAAGATCAAGAATGAAAACGATGAACAATATCAAATATTATATATATCATCTATTCCCTTGGGTTATATATAGTTCAACATAAGTGTCGTAGGTTGTAATTTATGTGTTCATAACGAGAGATTTTTGTTGGTGATCTATTTTCATTGTTTTCAAAATCGAACTAGTCAAAACTGAATTTTATATATATGTTATGTAACTTTTAATGATGAAAAAAAAAAAGTTTATCCTCGGGACGAAAATGGATCCATGTTTCTCTCCTATATAGTGAATTTTAAGACGAATATACGGCAAAATAAATCTAACACTTCGAATCACCGTTAAAGACTACATTGTATGAAATATATTTCAGAGAATTTTTTCCTGAGAAAAACTAACCACGGGACAAAACTTTAATAAAAACATAGCCGTAGGGAACCATACAGGTGATATTTTCATAGGAAAAACTTTCTTTGAAATGTATCTGATTCAGTGTAGTTTTTAACATTAACTTCAAATGTCACATTTATTTTACCTTACAATCGTGTCATAGCAATGAAAAATCATGATGTAGAAAATAAATATGAACCAGAAATGAGTTCCGATTTGGTTTAAATTTTGAAAAGCTTGAATTGATCAATATCTGATATTAACTTCGAAAGTAAACTTTTTTTTAACCATTAAAAGTTATGGAACATATATAAAATTCAACTCGGACTATTTTAATTTTGAAATATTGCAGGAGATACACTAACAAAAGTCTATTGCTTTGAAGATTTAAATTAGGACATACTACAATCATGTGGAACTACATAAACTCAATAAACACTATTTTCTGAATAGTAGGTAACAAAAGTTAAAATTTTGACTAGTGCCTTGATCCTCTGATAAAATGTGTTTTTATATGTTTATGTTAAAAAAAAACTATTATATTCTTTAGAACACCAAAGAAACCTACTACAACAACAATGCAGTCAAATACGAATGTTCAACCAACAATGTCAACATTTGACATTGAACATGAAGAAAATCCTAAACCAATGACTTATGACGAAAAACGTCAACTAAGTCTTGATATTAATAATTTACCAAGTGAAAAACTTGGTCCTGTCGTTGAGGTTTGTTATAATAAAATAAAAAACGATTTTATATTTATGAAATTTTCTTTTCTTTAAGATTATACATCGTCGAGAACCATCTTTACGTGATTCAAGTCCCGATGAGATGGAAATTGATTTTGAAATGCTCAAACCATCAACGTTACGTGAATTAGAAGCCTATGTTAATCAAGTTATTAAACGAAAACCACGTAAACAACCAAATACATCTGGTAAATAAATTTTCAAAAAAGAAATTTATATTTATCTTCCTATTTTCATATTATTAGAAAAAACAACTTCGAAAACGGCAGCATCAGCAGGTGAATGAAATTCTAGATTTCTTTATCTGCTCTGCTTAATTTCTCGCTTATCATATATATATATATATACATATTCTTCATTGCTATTCAACAGAAATCAGCAAAAAAAAAACATTTCCGAGATACCGAAAAGGAAGAAATCTTACCTATAGCATGTCACGAGATGTACGATTATTTTCTAACGCATGATTTTCTACATTATTTAACACTCGAGAAAAAATTCCTATTGTGATTCGAGCATAAAAATATTCATTCTCTACAATATGAATTTTTATTTGAATGTAGATTTTTTCGAATGAAAAAAAAGTCATAATTGCATGTCTAATGTGAAAATTGGCATGACTACGATTGCGATTAATATGTTAAGAATTAGTCTCATTAGGGAATATTTTCAAGTGCTAAAAATGCTTTCAATTCTTTTCTTTTATAGTTGTCATAAAAAAGAGTCCCTCACATAGAAGAATATATCTCCCTTGTGGTATAGAGTACTGTCTACTATTGGCATATTCATTAGCTAGATATCTTCTCGACAGCTAATACTAGTCGTAGATCTGAAAAGAAGATCGACGTCACGCAGAGTTCTTCAGATCTCGACATACACTAACTAATTACAAGAGTAGATGCATGTCACAATCTAATCTGCACGCTATCGGATACGTAATCCAAGATAAATACTCTTTAGTGTGACGTGTCCAGGGTCGTTCTATGGTCAGTAGTATTGAGATTTTCACACACTACCTATTGAACACATGTCGAAAAACGTAGTCACGCGCAAGAGAACCAATCCATTTGAAAGTAAGTTTATTGCAATCGTATTATCTCAGAAGAGAAACATTTGTTTGAGTTAAAACACTTTTTGCAGTATCTTCTGCCATCGACTGAACATTCCGTAAAATGACCATAACTCGATAAAATATGGCCTAGTGACTACGAATCCTTTTCAGAATTTTTAACGTCTGTTCGTATTATCGGCGGCTCGAATTACATAGAAACAGAGACTTATGCTTGTACAAAGTGTTTGATCGAAAGTCACAATCAGGATTTTACTAAAGAAATCATGCTGTCATTTTTTTTAATAATTAAAAATCCCTAATAGAATTTATCTTAAAGAGCTATAATTTTTTCTTTCAACTCAATTGAAACTTTCAAAATCTTATTAAACGTATATGTATGTCTTTTATTTTAGCTAATGCTGAAAAACGTAGTCTTGTCAAAGCTCAAAATGCACAGAAAAAAGAAGAAATACAAAAAAGACTCGAAAAAGTACAAACACAACTAGGTACTAAAACCAAACAAACATCTGCTAGTTCATTAACAAAACGAGGTTTGTAATCGAAACGAAAACTTCGTTTATAAAATACCTTTTTGTTTTTTTAAGATTCGACAAATTTTAACTCAATCGGTGCTACATCTGGTCTCATAAATGCTCCTTCAAGTCATCCATTATCATCAGTAGCTGCACCAATATCATCAAAACGTTTAAGTGAAAGTTCAGCATCAGAAAGCGATTCTGATTCATCACGCAATGGAGACGACACTGACTCCGAGTCAGGTTAGATGATCTGCATATATAAATAGAAAAATTTCTTTTTTTTCCTTCTCTCTCTCTCTCTGTCTCTTTTTTTTATTCATTATGTCTCTTAATTTTGTTTTTCATCTGTTTTTGTTTTTGTCCAATCTCACGAGAGACGAGAAATGAAAAGAGAAATAGTCTGCTGCTGTTCGACAGATCCTTGTTGAGAAATGAAACTGAAACTGAAACTAAAAAAAACAACAACAGAATTCTTTTTTATTCTACCTCTTTTTCTTTTTTTTTATTAATCTTTACTTTCGCTTAATGTCTCTATATAATTGCGCTTATTTAAATGAAAATAATCTCTTTCCCTTTTCTTCCGTTTCCGCCCCCTACTCCAACTAAAAACAAGATATCGTTTGGTTTATTGAATTTCAAAAACAAATTCCTTTCTGTTTGTTTGTTTTGTTTTTTTGAACACAAGCAACTATTTCTCTTTCGTCTTCCTCTCTATATGAAAATAATCACATTAAGAATGATGAATTTTGTTTTTGTTTTTTCCTCTACATGTGTTTATGTGTTTTTCTTGTACAATAATCTCTCTCTCTCTCTCTCTCTTTTTTTTTGTTTTTTTCCTTGTTTCTATATACATATATACAGTGGCATATTTCATTTCTTCTATCTCTATGTATCATTGAGATTACGTACGTGTATATTATCCCTTCCGTATATAAAAACATTAAAAAAAACGAATTCGTAACTGTCGATATTCGACGAATTATTATTATAATCCGGGTCCGAACTCATGCGAATCAGTATTGTGTATTACTATTAGTTTGTTTCGTTTTTTTCTTTTTTTTTTACGTGTCGTACATTAGAGCTAAAAAATACTGTATACACCGCGCGTATATTTGTGGCTCGTTTCTTTCTATATCTATCTCGAAAAAAAAATATCATAACCCAAAAATTCAGTCGAACAAAAGGAATAAAAATGATTGAAAAAAAAAATTTCAATAATAATAATAATAACGGCTTGCGTTTCATAAATTCAAAAGGATCTGTCGATACGGTCAGCAAATATATAATAGTCAACAATAGTAGTTGATATGTTATAAACTAAGGATGATTTATTTAGGCACCGACGATGTCAAATCAGCTGCTAATGGTGCTGCTGTATCAACTAGAACGAAAGATCAGGTCAGTAGAACAACATGGTGTTGGATTTTATTCGTTTATCAAGATTTTTATTGATCTCTTTTTTTTTTCTTTGCTTTTTTTTGTCTATTTCAAATAAGTATTATTGCTATTAGAAAGAATTTGATTATATTGGAGAAAAAAAAAAAAAAAACTTTATTTTTACAAGAGATTTGTTTCATTAGTGTTTTATCTAGATTTTCTCTTCTGAAGAAGTGATTTAGAATGTCAGAAAGGAAAAAACTTATTTTAAGAGCATAGAAATATAGTACGTACTACAAAAACCACAAAATATGGGAGGGGCGCCACAAGAGTCCGTCGGGATCTAGGTCAAAGTTGAGATCGTTATACCAGGTGACTTTCTTTTTTGCGTTTCCGAACATGTGCGTCTTCCTTTTCCTCTTCGTTCGCGTCCGTAAAAAGATAGAGAACTGGTATACCTGTTCTAAATCTACTCTAGGTGCTATCGCATCAGCTTCCACGCTGGATAAAATACTGAGAAGGGAAGTCCCTTAATTGATTCATCACTTTTAATTTGGGACTAAGTGTATTATGTAGATAGACTTCAATAAGTTATGAATACCATGAAAAGAGTTTAGGCTCTTGGTTTCTTATTGCTACTATTATATTGCATTATTGAAGTATTTTTCAATGAATTACCGTGATTCCGCTTCCCAAGATACAACCATGGTGTTGTATTGAGAAAAACCGTAAAAATACAATATGTCGACAGCAATAAGCTGAGGATTCCAACTCTCTTTCCGACATGCATAACTCATAGGATCTGCATGATACACATGTTTCTGGCGCAAATGCGATTAATCTGTTGCGAAACTTCCCTTCTGGACAGTATTTTATCCAATGCTGAGGTTGAGAAGGCGACGTGTCTCCGAAAGAGAAAATCTGGATAAAACATTGCTCATGAGTTTCATCATGATTTTTTTTTTGTAGCTTATTTCTCATGTTAATCATTTCCTATAGGTGCTATAATCCCCGCCTGTACTGGAACTTGACAAACATGAGAATTATAACTATTGATTAAATGTTAGAATTTATCTTATATGACTAGACTTCAACGCTTAGATCATATCTATTGTGTCCTATGTTTTTTGCAAGTGTAAAATTACTAACTAATTACTTTGATTTTTTATTATTTTAATAGACAACAACAAATGTTGATACCAATATCGATAATCTCACGAAGAGAAAAGGTGAATATAAATTTAAAAAAAAAAAAAATTATTTAATTATATTTGTCTTTACATTTAAGATGATATAGGTAGATCTATAATTGATAGTGGTAATACCGGTAAGTTAAATTGTAGAATTTTTTCTTTTGTAAATATATTTATTTTAGTGAATGACTCAACTGAACGACGAGCTAGTTTTCATTTGGGTGGAAATGATGATGATCTTTCAAATGAATCAGTACCAAGAACTTCGCCAGCAACAAAACAAACTGGCGATGATGAATCATTGAAACGAGTAAGAATAGAATTCATTGATTTTGTTTTTTTTTAATAATAAAACTGTTGTTTGTTTGTGTGTGTTTTTTTTTTGAAGGATTCAAATTTCTCAAGATTAACTAATGCTAGTTCATTAAGAAAAGAAAACTTGTTATCATTAGCTGCCAAAGCTGCTAGTACAACAACATCATCATCAACAGTCAAACCTGATGATAAAGTAGCACAAGATCGTTTTATGCAATATCAAAAACAAGCTAAAATAAAAGCTGAACAAGTAAACAAAATGAAATATATTAATCATTAAATTTAGTTTTTCTTTATTTTCTATTTAGGAAAAATTGTACAAAGAACAAGAAGCGAAAAAACGTGAAGATGAAGCGAAACAAGCACGTTTATTATCTCGAAAGTAAGTCAATAGACATATATATATATATATTAAATATAGAAGTCGAATCATACAAAGAAAATATTTTCTTAAGACGAATCAATTGATTTTATTTGTAATTGTTACAGGAAATGAATTTATATCTTATAGAATAAAAATTTATTTTCAAATCATAAATTATTGTTTAAAGAAGAGAGTATTAAATTAAAGAGAAAGAAACTGTTAGCTTTTATTCCTCAAGACTAGCTTTAGAAAAAAATGCGCCATTTAATTCTTTACAAAAATAAGTATAATAATTTCCGTTGTCTTTGAACAAACAACTTTCAAACACAACCTCCTAATGCATTTCTATGACAATATATTTGAGTACTACAATTAAGATCGTTATCGATTGAATATGTTCTTTTCAAATCGAATAGTCCAATACAAAAATGGAATCGATCTAAAATCCATATCGGCACTGAACTAACGAGTTGTTCTACAAATCTATAATTTGGATAATGATATTTGCATAGTGAAATTTCAGTATACATTCTCTATGAGATACTAAGAGCGAAAAAATTGATAAAAAACATCGGTAACTGATCCTGGTTCCATTCCTGGTCCAATGAATTTGAATCAGGGTTGTTTGAAGGTCAATGATCCTTGTCGATGAATGACGGAAATTGTTAGATACACTTTTCTATAATTTTTCATAGATGTGCGACTTCGCGCTATTCTTTTAAAAGATCCACTCGTCCTCGAACACCTTCCCAGCGAAATCACTACGAATTTTTGTCATCTCCCATATTGTGTCGTTATAACATGCCCATCAAAAAAAAATACGGATCATATTCTTCGACCAAGATTGTTGTTATACTTGAAAGCCATTAGTAATACCTCGTCATTGTAACGATCATGGTCAGTTGCGTCGTTGTTAAATATAACTAAAGTCGACACTCCCTTTAGAACACACCCTTCAGTCAGATCATAACGTTTAGCGGAAATATAAATTCTACAAATTCTATACATCGTCTAGGTAGAGAACTTTCTCATTAGAGCAACAGAATTCTTTGTATCTTCTTTTCGAAATTTTGTTTGTTTCCAATTTGCTAACTTCTTTCTTTTTGTGTACTCAAAAAGTGAATACACTCTAGAATCGGTCAGCGTGTCCGGTCGTCCGTTTACACGATAACTTTTGAAAGGAGAGTCAGATCGCCATGAAATTTTCTACACAGTTCAATCTTAACAAGATCTCGGTCGAGTTCGAAGATGAGAAGGATTGGCCGAGCCCTTCCTGAGTTATTGCAAAAATACTCATTTTTCCCTATACCTTCCCTATGGAAAGATCGACCCTTTCCCGCTTTCGTAAACAACTTTTCCTATCATAGTCAACTAAAATCCCAACTATTATATACCATTCGATAGAGAATTTCACGAGCTAAAAAATGGTATATAAAACATAAAGAAACAAGAAGATTAACTCAACGATTACAAAGATAACTAAACGGAAATGGGTTCTGCTTTCGTCCACACTCTAATTGATCCA